ACCCACTTGTTGCGTAAAGGAGTCAATTCTTTTGTTTATCTCTAATTCTAAGGCAAACATGAAGATTTTTTTCAAATATTCTAAATTAAAAATCATGCTATTTCTCGAACTTCTCAAATTACAAATAACTTGTGTAAAATTATGTCCAAAATTAGGAATTTGATTGATTTTTATTGATGCTACGGATTATCAACTCTTTGCAGATCATTTAAAGCCCCAAAATAGTTTGGGATTAGAAAAAAAATGTTTTACGGATAAAAGTTTGACTAGTTAACCCAGAGCTGGGGAGTGATGATGTGGATTTATGTCTTTCCTAGCGATATTTTCGCGTAAATGAATATAAAGCAACCGACTCCGCATTTAAATTCCTGGCTTTATCCATTACACTACTGCAACATCCAAGTTTACAGCGCCTGTTATTCCTAAGCGGTCACCCACCTAGGTACTGACCACGTTCGACGTTGGTTAAGTCGTGTGCGATTTAGTCGTAAGCCTCTAAACTCTTGAAAACAACAAATTTAAGGTGTACTTTATCACTGGCTCATTTTTTAAAGACGAAAAAACTTTGTCAGCTTTTTAGTTAAACAGAAGTTGCACCGATTGCAGTGTTAAATTGCGATTACCTTGAGTACTATTTTCTATTTTAAAATAAACTCCAGTGACTTCTATTTCTGTAGTACTTTTTTTCAAAAAAATATGTCCTCTATAGCTTTTGCATATTTCCCAAGTAATAAGCGCCATATTTTCAATCCTACGTTTTACTCAATTCCCCACATTATATATACAGAGCGACTTAAAAGGAGCATATGATTTCTGCATTTGCTGTTGTCAGGTGACTATTTGTCAGTTGCATTACAGCTTAGAAAGTAAAAATCAATAAAAGACATGTTTAACTAACCATTTATTTAGGAAGATATTTTTAAGGAACTTTACCAAGAAGCAACTAAGAAATTGAATAACTTATGAGTGAAATATTAGCAAAATAACTTCCAAATATTTGGTCACTACACTTGACACACACCGAATATATATATTTATATATATATATATATATATATATATATATATATATATATATATATATATATATATATATATATATATATATATATATATATATATATATATATGTGTGTGTGTGTGTGTGTGTGTGTGTGTGTGTGTGTGTGTGTGTGTGTGTGTATATATATATATATATATATTTTTCAACCCTAAACTTGCCTGACATTTCCGTTAACCTGAAGAATATTCGTGAGCACTGCTATACTTAAAAAATTTGCAAATGCAATAACATTTTCCTCTTTTCACTTGACTTGATAAAGTCCCTCAGAGGATGAAACGCGTCGTTTAAGATAAGTTTTCCTTTTGCCGTTATTCAGATTTTCTTTTACAAATAAACTCTATCTGAATTTGTACACACAGCGTAAAACAGGCACACACACACACACACACACACATATATATATATATATATATATGTATAGATAGATAGATAGATAGATAGATAGATAGATATCTTAGTGTGCCTGTGTGTATATGTATATATATAAATATATATAAATATATATGTGTATATATAAAAAATAAAGAAAAGTAAGATATATAATCCAGTGTACTTATAGATATTTTTATTTTTACAAAATAGTGCTCAAAGTAAATTTACAGAGCATTAATATTATAAACTAGGCTTAACCTTGGAAACGTGAATTATGATTTTCGCTGTGTCTTTAAGACCCAGTAATTTTAAAAGTTACTCCAAAATTCGCTTTAATTTAATTACAAAATTAAATTCGGGGCTTTTAGCTTGCATTTTTGAAACATGGTTAGAACTTTGTAGCGAAAAAAAACATATTTTAAATCAATTAATTTATAATATATATATATATATATATATATATATATATATATATATATATATGTGTGTGTGTGTGTGTGTCTGTGTGTCTGTGTGTGTCTCTGTGTCTGTGTGTGTATGTTTCTGTGTGTGTATATGTGTGTGTGTGTGTGTGTGTGTGTGGGTGCGGGTGTTTATGTGCGGGTGTGTGTATGTGTGGGCGTGTGTGTGTTTGTGCGTGCGTGCGTGCTCGGCTGTGTGTGTATATATAGAAAGATAAAGATAAATAGATATATATACATAGATAACTGCTTGTCTTTTCTGCGTTTGCATATGTGTAAAGTGTTTTCATTTTAAGCCTATATATATATATATATATATATATATATATATATATATATATATTATAATATAATATATATATATATATATTAGACTAAATCCATTGAAATGAGTCATAGTTTCAAATTATTTCGATTGTTACTATTTTCAAGCAATTTTTAAAAAGAAAGCTAAGGTAGACTGTGATGCGACAACGTTGAAATGGATGACAACTTGCTTCAAAAAACACATTTCGATCCTAACCACTGGCAATCTTTTTCTTCCATTTACAGATTTTTTTTTTCCCAATAAAATCCTTAGCTATATATTTACAGTGCCAGTAATACTTGATTTAATTCTCGACCACTCACAGTACAAGTTTTGCTTATGATTTAGAATCGTTTTCAATGATCATAAAAGTTTATTCTGACCCCTTACCCCTGAAACAGTCTACGCATTTCCTTAATAAAAGAATTAGAATTTAATATATATTATACATCTAATACCTGGCATCAATTTCTAACTACTGACAATCCATTTTTTATATTAAAATCAGTAACATTAAGTTTACTTTATACATACAATAACCTTATTCTATCAATAGCGCTTGCATTACTCCTCAAATCTTAGCGATATCATTTTTCCTGATTTTTTCCATAATAAAATCATTTTAAGTGGGTTTACATTATACATATAATAGCACTAGTCTTTCAGTAATTCTTATATTAATACCAGGTTTTTCATCTTTTCTTTGTTAACGTACTACATGGAGGTTAATTGCCGAAAGAACTTTCCGTATCTGTCTATATTTCTGAAATGAGGTATTATGTACATTATTTACATTGTCCGCATCTTTGTCGCCATATTTATTACAACGTTTCGGCCATTGTACGCTACGGCCCTCTTCAGGTGGTTGGAATGTCGAACTCAAAGACACATGGCACAGTGGATAAAGCGTTGGTTAGATCCAGTGACAGGACCCGAAGAGTGTGAGTTCAATACCCGGTTAAGGCAGTGAAGAATTTCAGAAGAGATAACAGGAGATAACTGACAACTAACAACCATTAAACATGTCACGTGCAACTAGAACAGTCTACCCCAGTGAGTGAAATAAAGGGTTCAGTTTGTCATTCCAACCACCTGAAGAAGCCCGGTGTGTACAACGGCCGAAACGTTTTAATAAATATGGCGACAAAATGAGGACAATAGTCCGAATAATGTAAATAATGAAAGAACATTGTGAAATTTTAATTGAAAATTGTGAACTTCAGTTCCTTGTCATTTAATATT